TTGTTTCTTTCAATAATGCAGTCTTGTGCTGATCACTGTAAGACGGTTGTTTCTACGGGTTATCATCTTGGCAGGGGAGGTAATTGGTGGGATAGGGAATGTGATATGGCTCGTCGTGAGGCTCGTCGATTTCTCCGTGCGTTTCATGCAGTAGTAGCGATAGACAGCGGTACACGGAGGCCTGGTCGTTATATAAACAACTTTGTTCGTCAAAACGGTTTCTTGAGTTTCAAAATTATGTTGACACATTGAATAGTGCTCTAGAGGAAAGAAATAGCAAACTATTCCGGAAAACTTTAAAACAAAAGACATACGTGGGATTTAGTCATATTAAGCCCTCCGAGTGGATTGATTATTTTCAGGATCTCTTCAAAGGGGTTCAAACTTCCCAGACTGAAGTTGAGTTCTATGATGTTGTAAAATCTTATGTTGATTCTATTGATAAAAATCTTGTTTTATCAACTGTAGATGATGACTTCCTTGACAAGGAAATGTCTATCCAGGAGGTTACTGATGTTATATCTGGTATGCAGTCTGGTAAAGCCCCGGGTTTCAGTGGTATTAGTATCGAGTTTTTCAAGAATGCCCCAGAACAGTGTATATATGTGCTACAGTTTCTGTTTAATGCAAGTTTATATTAGGGCACGTATCCGTCTGACTGGACGTTAGGTGTTATATTACCCTTGCATAAGAAGGGCAGTTCTAGTCTACCAGTGAATTATCGTCCTATTACATTAGTGGAAGTTTCTGGAAAGATTCTTGCTAAAGTTATTAGTAATAGGTCGTATAGAGCAGGAACAGTTTTTCACTCCGGAACAAGCAGGTTTTATACGTGGATTCCAAACTACTGATAATATCTTTATTTTACACACAGTTATCAATAAATATCTCTCGTTGAAAAACGGTCGCCTTTACTGTGCCTTCATTGACCTGAAATCAGCTTTTGATTCTGTAGACAGGACAAGTCTTTTATTCAAACTCTGGTCTGGTAATGTTAAAGGCAGAATGTATAATTTATTAAGAAATATGTATGCAAATGTAAAGTCATGTGTCTCGCTTGAAAAAGGTTACACTCCATTCTTTGATTGTGCATTTGGCGTACGTCAAGGGTGCCAGTTATCTCCCTTTTTGTTTCCATTTTTTTATCAATGATTTGGTGGAATTTCTAGCCCTAGACGGTCAAAGTTGTATAAGTTTAGATTTTATTGAGTTGTTTATTTTGCTTTTCGCAGACGACATTGTTTTGTTTGACAGTACACCATTGGGATTGCAAATGAGAATTAACAAACTAGATTCCTATTGTCAGAAATGGAAGCTTAAAATAAATACCGTTAAAAGTAAAGTTATTGTATTTAGAAAAGCTGGCAGATTGAGGAAATATGAGAAATTTTATTTGGGTAGACAAAACCTAGAAAATCGTTTAATCGTATAAATACTTGGGCGTTCATTTTTTTAGTTCTGGCAGTTGGTATATTACAGAGAAAATATTAGCTGAACAGGCATGGAAAGTGTTATCATTAGCTAGATCATCAATTAAGGATTTTTATAGTTTACCACTTAAGGTCTTATTGCATATTTTTTATGTAAAAATTGTACCTATTTTGCTATATGGAGCCGAAGTTTGGGGTTTTCACTCTTCGCCTAATATTTTTCATGTTCAGGATAAGTTTTGTAAACAAATACTAAGACTTTCTGTCTCGACTCCGAACATTGTAGCTCGTGGTGAGCTTGGCAGGTACTCTTTGAATGTCAATAAACACATTAAGATAGTTAAATATTGGATGAGGTGCATAAGTCAAAGGGAAAATATAATATTGTACAATGTATATAGATATCAGTATAGTTTAGCAGAGAAAAATATAGATTGCTGGGCACAAAAGTAAAAAACCTATTGTTCACTTATGGTTTTGGACAGGTATGGATGGAGCAGCGTGTTGTCAATGTCCAACAATTTCTAGTCGAGTTTAAACAAAGATGTATTGACATTGACGTTCACAATTGGCTAGCAGACCTTGGTAAATATTCTAAACTTGAAATGTACAGACAAATTAAGGTGCAATTAAACGAAGAAGATTATTTTAATGTAATTAATGTAAAAGCTTATTGCATAGCATTATGCAAGTTCCGCTGTTCCAACCACGACCTAATGATTGAGTACGGTCGACGTCTCAAACTTGACCGTAAGAATCGACTTTGTCCCTTTTGTGTAATACCTAATATTGAATCAGAACTACATTTTTGTCTTGAATGTCCATTTTATCAGGACTTAAGAGAAAGTCTTATTCTAGAATTTTATTATAAATTCCCATCGAACAATTAGCTTATTTTATTATTCACATCACGGAAAATCAGGGTCATAAATATTTTGGCTTAATTTATCTTTTTAGCTTTAAAGAAACGTCCATCATTTAATATTTGCATAAACAGAAACTGTAATAATATTATGTGGCGCTTCAGCGCTTATTTTGTCAAGTTTCATGTATAATGGGCCGGTGGCCCCTTTACCGTAATAAACACACTCTCACAAGCAGTCAATATCACAAGTTGAAAGTTTGTTACTCGTCTTGTTTTCTTTCCGGGTTTACGCTAGCGGAGGAACCAAGGGAGATAACTCTGTATGAAATTAGTTCTGTCATCCCAGGTCCAGGCAAATACTGGTTGTTATTTCTATGACGGTGAAATGTGACTTTTGATGAAAACAAGACTTTTATTCTTTTCATGTAACTGCATTTGTCACACTCATGCATATGATAAAACTGTTTACCCAACTGTATCCCATGCTAAAACAATGTCGGCAAAAATGTCAATATACAATTTCATTGCAATGTTCATAGTTATAATATGATGAGGGTTCAGGTTTGTTCTTCGATGGTTGTGTATGTCTCAAGACTTCTCTGTCAATGCATTTCAGAGTACATGAAGAGTGCGATGTTTAATGGAAGATATTTCAGGAGGGAACAAAATGATTCTAACACCTTATATTTGATCAATATTCAACAATTACCTTTTGAGAATTTCGCATCAGATAAACACCCATATGTAAGTCATAAGAACTGACTAAAATTACTATTAGGTGGTCAGGTTCAGTAACTTGAATGAAGGCATAGTTTATTGGCCATACTATATGTAGTTTCCCCTGTTCCTTGACGAGTATGACTTTAATATTCCACTCAGCAAACTGAAACTGTAAGTACCAGTCAATGGTAAATGGTTAAGTTATATATTCAACCCGCCATTGGTAAATAGAGACCTGATAATTTGCTGAAGTTTAAGATTTAGTTTGAATGTTGTAAATTGAGTCAGTGGTTTTCAGGACGTTTTGAACAGTATTACAGGTTTTTATCAGAGCCGTGACTGACCAAATCTCAAACATTTACTTATCATCAATCAAACGTTATCCAAAACCAATATGCATACCCACAGACAATCTTAGGTTTTTTCCTTAAAGGCCATGAACAGATCTTATTTTGATTATTGGCTGCTCATACTGCTCTTCCCAGTAGTGGTTTCGGAGCTAACCGACGGGTCGACAGACGACGGACAATATATATAATTAATTTCATGAAGATTTGGCAATTTTCGAACAGTGCAGTGTTAACTAACATCGAAACCATGGCGCACGCTGGTCAGGATGATGATAACGATGGAAATGAGATCGAAGATGATTTTGACAAGGACATGAAGCATATCAAAGCACATATATATCGCAGCAAACCTTTAGGGAGAAACTAGTTTCAAATCGTTCATGGCTGAGGTGTCGAACGGTACACACAGCTACCTCTGTTCAGGTGAGGTGAGGTGAAACGGATTCAGCGTGTGTGCGTGTGTGTGTGTGTGTGTGTGTGTGTGACCACTTGTACAAGTCCGAACTTATGCCGATTTATAGTGCTAGCTCACTGAGAAAACATGCCGCAGTTTAACATGAGTGAGTGAGTGAGTTGAGTTGAACGCCACTTTTAACAATATTCCAGTTATATCACGGCGTGTCAGCTTAATGTGGGAGGAAAGCCCGAAGTGATGCAGGTCTCAGACGTTTACCACTTCGGTGAAACCCACGAGCACGGGTATGGTGCTGACAAAACGATAAACATAATCAGGGCGAACCCGGATTCGAACCCACTATCATAGGTTCCTGGCGTGCCCAAGGGACGCAATTCTGCACAGCAAATCGCTGTGCCTTAAACGACTGGGTCACCCGTGCCCTCAGTTTAACATGATACCCAACTCAGACACAGTATACTGACTCCGAGCCGACCAGTCCTTTTTAGCCCCTAAGCAGGGTGTGAACCATCTTTTAACTCACAACCAAATATTCGGGACGTATAACGTCATAGCAACATAACCGTGCGCGTTTAGGTATTTTTAACAAATATTATTAAACGTGTGATGATTATGTTATGTTTCTGGTGTAAAACTAGTAACTGTCTATTAATTTGATGCACTGGTTTCATCAGTAGATGAACGTCAACAAGTACAACTTCAATCCTTAAATGGCAGCTACGGAATTGACTGTATTGTATGGGATGAAAAGGTAAAATTTGGATTCTAGTGTTAGTCCAAATATTCCATATTCATATTTTGGAGTTCATTTAAGAGCCGGGACTACAACTTAAATGTGTTTTCCTCATAAGGGATAATCAATAATAATGTAACTCCTCACTTTCGCTTGTTTTAGTTATCTTGTGTGGGATCTGTGTCGCAACATATGAGGTGTTTTTTTCTCTGGGCTCTGTATACCTCCATCGCAATCTTTAGTCCCAACGTTGAACTATGAAACGTTTCAAAACTGGATGGTCAGGCGTTCATTGCAGGTTCTTATCAATAGTTACTGTTATTTATTTTCTATACTGATAGTTCGTTCTGTAGAAACTTTAATGCACTGATGATAGGTGTTTTTGTCCTTGTTGCTACTTATTAGATTGATTGCGGATGCAAGTTAGATTTTAACTGTCTCTCTCTCAACCTTTTCACAAACTAGTATTGCTGAATATCACATTTACCTTTAACTTGTAACTGCGCGGTAAACTCCTTCGAGATATGAGTACTTTCCAGTGTAACAACGCAACTGTAAGTTCCTGTGTCATTCTTCGTCACGTCTGTAAGACTAAATCCAACTTTCCCGGCTGTTTGCAGGTGAAAACGGTAAGTGTAGTTTGGAGTGATACTGATGTCATCCTATAAAGAAACAGTTAAATGTATAAAGAGACAACAAACTCACGTAAATCATACAGTGAAGGGCTAAAATGGATTGTCCATGGATTTATCATTATTAAACACAGACGTATTAGAGGAGTGAGTGAGATACGTTTTTATTCCGACTGAGAACAGGTTCATAACTACTTAAGTCGTCGAATGAGGGCGGGCTGTTACCATGTGAGATCTAGCTTATTTTGCTTTAACGTACCACGGCGGTATAGAACGTTTCTCATGCTATCAACCACTGAGTTGTTTGCTCCCGTCGCGATTATTTACAGGCTGTCGTGTAGCTCAAACATTGCTGACTATGGTTTTCAACAACTTAATGAATCCATGTGGTGAACATATACCCATAGGATACACAGACGTGGCAGATATTATGAGGAACGGCCAACGCCCTCGAGGTACGCAGACACCAATCCAATCATCGAAGTCACCGAGCCATACAAGCCATTCCAATTTTGGCTCCATACAACAAGCAATACAGGCCACATATTTTTTTCATGGTCCTAACCGATAAACATATGTCTAGAAACAATCAATTACATTGCCAAAAGAAATTATGTATTTTTTACATTGGGGATACGGTATATTTCATAATGCTCTTCATTCTCAAGGTTGAAATACAATATCGATAAAACTTAATTATGCAAATCAGATCTGATTATTCCAATAAATACAGACCACCGGGTCTGCATAAAGCCAATCCCCATAAAATTAGATTTAATCCTCCGATACGACAGCTCTCGGCATAAAGATCTGCCAGTCCCTGCATAAAGATAGAGACTTCTAATTCGTTTCTGTGCGCTTGAGTGACATAATCAGAGTAGTATATTTGATTTCTGTACTTCGACAATTACCATAAACGGTCGGCCCCGATTGAAAATGATATAGGCCGCGCTTTTTGTTTGTTGTGCATACTTTTACATCTTGTCAGAGCGCCATGACATCTATACTTAATGGGCTTTACAATCGAAGGAATACGTGTGTGTTTTGTCAGTTTCAAAAGATATTTCGAACTGAGATCTTTTTAAAAAACGGATAACTGAATGACTCAAAAACCCACGTTAAATTGAGGGTCAAAGCTCCCTCAGGTTTCACCTGACGCCACCTTCTATGTAGTGTTGGTTTGATCTTCACACAGAGAGATATCCTCTTGTATTCAATATCTGATTTAAATGAGAGATTTCTATATGGTCCATTTGCCTTTTCCACACGTCGCTACTTCCGGTTTGAAAGAGAGGCTTGGAGTGCATAAGGTGAAGTATGCAACAACACACATTTTTTCCCATGACAATCTACTCTGATCACGCCATGTCGCCTTATTGAAATAATTTAGCAAGTGAGTCGAGCCGTTCAGTTCAAAATCAAATATCCATTCAATGACCATCTGACACCGACTAAAACCAAATTCTACAGGCATAGCGTGTGGCAAATAATTCACTTCTTAATTATCCGTCCGTCACCCAAGCTCTCTATAAAGATGTTATGGTCCGGTGTGAGTTCGAATAACTTCAATCAGTATCAGGAGAGTTGTATTTCATGTCAGCTAGTGATCTTTGGCAAATAGAAAATATTGACCTTTGACCACATCTATATGAGAAATGAACTTAATTGATATGAATTTTTTATTTATCTTATTCTAAAATATTGAGAATTTACACACATAAACAAATCCGAATTGTCAATGGATGTTAACGTTAATGGTGTCACAACTTAATAACGTTATAATTTAACTAGGACAAGAAATATAGCAAAATACTTACAGGATCCTTAATACAATCAAGGACTTTCTTTATATTAACAGAAAGTATTTGAGACAAGAGGAATTAATACCATATGGATTCTCAAAAACGTAAAGGATTTGTTTGATCTTCATTCAATCTCGGAAAGAACCCGGTTCAATTCTTGGAAAACATCTTTTTTCAACTTGACCCCATATGGCAAACTTAAGAACAAACTTAATTCCTTCTTTCTTGGTGCCTTTGCTACAAAACGTGGTGACCATTTTGTCAGATATAAAATCGAATGCCATCTCAGGTTTACAAAATGTGAAATGATAACAACTATGAGAAAAATTGCGGTAAGACTTCTTTGCAAGAAGTATGCATCCCCATGGGCACCATCTGTGGTCACCGTCTTGTTGATCTGTTATGGAATCGGAATTTCTTCTCGTATTGACAAGTATAAACAAGGTAATTTGGCCAAGAAGTTTAACTTATGCTTCAGGTACTTCGATTATCTGATATCGTTCAATAACCATCAACAATCCAATTCCCTTCCACTGACTTATCCGCCTGAACTAGAAATAAAGGGCACCAGTGAGACTGCCTTGTCTGTATCGCATTTAGATCTATGCATGAAAATTCAGAGTAGCAAAACACTCTCCACAAGACTGTATGACAAGAGGGGTGACTTCAACTTTCGAACAGCCAACTTTCCCTTCATGTCGAGCAATATTCCGGCAATTGCAACCCTTGGTGTCTAAATTGTACTACTTTTGAGGTACAATCGTGCAGGCTCTTTCTACCAAGAGCGTCATATGAAGCTGTTTGATCATGGTTCAAACAGTCAAGGCAAAAAAGTGAAGTATTTTATGGTAGATATATGCATGGCATTTCCAAATTTGAAATGACAAAAATGATGTCCGATGTAAATCCCTAATTTGACTTGTGAGTGAGTGAGCGAGTAATTTTACGACGCTTTTAGCAGTATTCCAGCAATATCACGGCAGGGAACACCGGCAAATGGACTTCACACATCGTACCCATGTGGGGAGTCTAACCCGGGTCTCCTACCTGACGACTCAACGCTTTAAGAACTGGGCTACCGCCCTATTTTGACTTGTACCATATTTATTTGGTTGGTTTGTTGTTTAACGCCGCAACGCAGCAATGTTCCAGCAACGGCGGTCTGTAAATAATCGAGTCTGGACCAGACAATCCAGTGATTAATATCATGAGCATCGATCCATGCAATTGGGATAGATAACATGCATCAACCAAGTCAGCGAACCTGACCACCCGATCCCGTTAGTTGCCTCTTACGACAAGCAGAGTAGCCTTTTACGAGAAGCATGGGTTGCTGAAGACCTATTCGTCTCCGGATCTTCACGGGTCTTGACTTGCACCAAATGCTACCGTGTTTTTTTCAGGTGAACAATCCACTTGCCTTTGTATGTTTGTGTGACGGATGCCATCGGTGGGGCACGATACGCTCACCTTTTCGCGAACACGTGGTATCACCACTATTTGAGAGTGATTCATAAACACATGCTTATAATATAGTCGGAATCGTACAATCGACTCTGCCTTTCTTATTTCTTATGAATATGGCGGGTTTTGTCGCTTTCATTTAATCATGATAACTGATATTTTCATTAGTTGGTTAACGGATTTTTTCAAAAGAAATAGTGTTCAGCGAAGGGAAATAAACACTATAAAATCTGACATGAAATACACATGCATTTGGACTTTCTGTACTGTACTATATTACTTGTAATTGCATTTTAAAATACCGGTAAAAGGAGGTGTAAGGAAGGTGAGTTGTGATGGAAAAGTCGCTTCGTTGCCGCATTCTAAGAAAAAATATTTCCTTATTCTTTTATTTCTTTATTTGGGTCTGCGATGATACAATATTTAAAAAAAACACATTGTTTTTCTCCATTTCATTTCCCCAGAATTTTGTTCTAAAACAAAAGTCTAAATTGTTATTATATTCCTCATCTTGTGATCTGACAAAGTTGATAGTTTTATGTCTGGCACAGACACAAATTAAAGTATCAACTACTACTGTTATAAGACATTTCATATTACAAGAAAATACAAATCATATTTGTATCATATTTTATAAATGACTTTCTTGATCTTACACCGAAAACAATGAGGCAGACTGACTCTTGTTCTTACATAAAGTGATATTTCACCTGATTTATATCGAAAGTTATTTCACTTTAGCTAAACAAAGTATTTCATTATTAGATACATAACAAAAATGCCAAACCTGTCTACACCAACACCTGCTGATTTAAACCAGAGTGAAATTTGTGTGTGATATTGATGTAATAAACTGAACTATACTGTGTCATTAATACATCTGTTGTGTTTGCACAGAATAGACTGTTGAGTTTTAGTCGTATCAGATGAAATGATACTTTCAAGGTGGATCTAAAGTAGCATGATATGCTAAACATTCTCCTTTTCTGAAACTGTGAAAAATTATTACTTGCTGAATTGAGAGAAAGTTGCAACGTTTATTTGAAATATGTAGAAATATATGTAGAAATATTATGCAAATATTTTTGAAATATTTATTTCAGGCTTTATAGTCCAGAGAGTATTCACAGTGAATCTACACTGACACTCCTGATTCCCTTCCTTCAAGAAGATGTATGCTGTGATAACAGAAAACATCTCAGGTGGTGGAGTGAGTGAGTGAGTGAGTTTGGTTTTACGCCGCTTTTAGCAATATTCCAACAATATCACGTCGGGAATCGAACCCGGGTCTTCGGCGTGAAGAGCGAACGCTTTCACCACTAGGCTACCCGACCGCCCCCTCAGGTGGTGGAGGGCTGACAGTGACACACCCGATACACATTTTGCTGAAAGAACACTTTTTCCTATTTTCTCCTGGAATTTAATTAGGACTGGTAAAGAAAACTTGCCTAAGGACAAGCCCTGTTCATTTTTGAAATATTTGAATAATTAAGTGACGCTTAAGAAACATTCGTTAATCACAAGAACCGTAAAACATCTCATACACTTATCAAAGACAGCTTTTTCTAAAACTCAAGCCATCATCTGAGTGTCTGTTGACACTACAACCCTCGTTATAGCGGGAGTAATTCGCGATAAACATGGCAGTCTGAAAACGTTTGATGTGCGCAAATATATGATCCGACGATATATATGTCTCTCCTCTTCAACCCTCACTTCGAAGTCGACTAAAACTCGAAATACATCGCGCACGCTACAAGTTTAGAATTCTGTTGGATGTGATATCATCCACTGTCATTTTAGGCAAAGCGAAATTACTGTATGTTCAGAAATATCGGATATTTAGTCGAAGGATTGAATTTCAAAAATAGCACATTAGTGATCACGTGAATCTGTTTGTCACCAAAACACCAATGATAATTCTAAAACCTCGCCGAGGAACCCGGAATCGCTTAGAATGTTTTGGAAAATACCCAAACACGAATACCGAAGTGCACTTTCCGCCATATTGGATAGTGTTGACAAAAATCACGTTTCACGCATGCGGGTTATGAGACGCCTATTAGGCCTAGATCACGTACATTTCAAGCTCAGCTGCGATACATGCATCCCTGAATTCCTCCTTCATTTTAGAATCAAGTGACAAATGGTCTTTGTCACCAATACAAATTATTGAGATGACATCAAGCGAAGTAAATTAGGTGGAAACGAACACTGTGCTCGGAAAACTCTTCTTGATGAAATGTAAACAAAACAAAATTCAGATTTTACACCCTCCCATTTTAAGGTCAATTCGTCAATTGTTGCATACAATAACTGACGCGTTTGAGAATATTCTTGGGAAGAGTATCGTAGCACGAATTATGGAATTAAAATTATATTCATTACAATGATCAGGGAAATTCATCAGAAATCGTAAAAGTTCCCGTCCTATGTGACGCCATGACTGACGCAAAGTCACGCACAACGACGACGGTAGTTATCTGCATTTCTGACAAAATCTCTTGGTTACATTGGAAAACGTAAAAACAAATAACAGTACGCAAATTGTCTGATTGTTTCTGATTACTTACATAACACATTTATGTATATACCATCCATCAATCAACGAAATCCTCCTCTGAAAAGCCCGCGTACTGATTGTTAGTGAACACGCCATTTTGTAGAAGTCAGTCACCGGTAGTGACGGAAGTAAACATAGTTGTACATATTTGGTAATTTCTTTGAGGTGAATCTTTTTAACTCGGCATCATGCGGGTTCTTTGATCTTATCTAGTTTGCTGTATCATCATCGCCTTTGTAATCCACAGATGGCGGAAACGTTTTTAGGTTTAAGGTGTAGGGTCACATTATTTATGAATAGTAAGCAGTACGTCGGATGATGTCACTTATGACCCGTTGTGTAATGTATACTCAACAACAACGATTCCTGTGACATTAAATAACATTTTATGCAAAGTTATGTTTTTTACCAAATCTGAAACAATTTCGGTTTGTAACAGATAAAAGACTCCTGTAAGTGTTCAAATGGTTTAATTTGCCATACTGACTTCAGAACATGCGTGATTTCGTTAAAAGAAAACATGAACATGCCAAAATGTCAATTTACAAATCAATAGCGTGTGTGTCCACCTCTGGTTGCTATGCAAGCAACACATCTCCGTCTCATGGAATGGACCAGGCGTCGCACAAAGTCCTGTGGGATATCTGTCCATATCTGCTGGGGCATGTTTCAAAGTTCCTGGAGTGTCTGTGGAAAACGTGGTTGACGTCGAAAGCGCCGATCCATCTCATCCCACATGTGCTCGATTAGTGGGAGATCAGGGGAGCGAGTCGACATACACGTTGTTTTGTTGAAAAGAATCCTGAACAAGTCGAGCAATATGAGGCCGGGCGTTGTCATGTTGAAAGGTAATGCCTGGGCCATGACGGCGCAAAAACGGTAGAACAACAGGGCCGATGATCTCGTCGCGGTAGCGCTGTCCATTGAGATTTACCTCTACCACAATCAAACGGGCCCTCTGTCTTGCTGTAATCTCTTCCCATACCATAACGCTGCCGCCCCCGAACCGATCTTCTTCCATGGCACAATGATTGACGTAACGTTTATCTCGACGTCGGTACACTCGAATCCGTCCATTGATGTGGCTGAGGTGAAAACGAGACTCGTCAGTGAATAGAACTTGTCCCCACTGCATGGCCGTCCAGCGTAGACGCTGTCTGCACCACTGTAGACGTGCTTGACAGCGGTTTCCTGTCAAAATGGGACGTCTGGCGGGTCTTCTGGCAACAATCCCTGCACATATGAGGTGGCGACGCACGGTTTGTGAAGATATTCGTCGAAGGCCAGGGATGCTTCTTGCAGTCACTGTTGCTGGGTGTGTTGTTCGAATCCAGTTGTCTTGTCGATTATTGGTTACGCGAAGCCTGCCACTCCGACTCTCTGACTGCATTCGTCTGTTGTCAACGTTGCCATAAACACCAAATGGTGTTTCTGTGGACGTTAAATTGTCTTACAACATCACGTTGACTCGATCCTGCTTCAATCATACCAATGGCTCGCAGACACTCATTTTCATACAGGCGTGGCATTTCGTAATGTAGAATAATTGCGTGATTTTTTTTTTTTTCTGAGTGGTTGTTGTCAGCACGATGCTGAACAATGCATATGCAATCCCGTAAACGCCCATGTTTTTATACTCATTCTTGGGTAGTGAAATGCATGGGGCTTGCATAAAAGTCAATGGTACAATAACTCTACAATCCTTTACAATCGCCTCTACCACCGCTTTGTCGATCCACAGTTGCTGTACCAGACTCTAAATCTAAAGTATTAACAAAGTCTGTCTTGATTCCAAAAGGGAGTGTTTTATCATATCAGCAATGACTTATGATGGGTACCATTTGAAATCATGATACTCACACATCCTTTCCACAACTCCCACTCAACAGCAGTATTGGTCCCTCAAGTAATCCGGGGCGGTCAGGTAGCCTAGTGGTAAGAATACCATGCCTGAGTGGGGTATCTTTGGAAAGCTGCGGCATTGTAACTCTGTGGGATTGCTCTACAAACCGGAATACGTCCGGAATAATACCAGCAGCAACACACACGCGTGCATACACGTCACTATCATACTAATCTTGAGCGTGACGTTAAACCCCATGTCCCCTAGCCTCAATTATTAAGAATAGACAAGGTAAAGTATATATTAACATATATTATGTCCGCTTCTATCGAATTACCTCATCTTGGATTATTCCGTGTTTTTGAATATGTTCGGAAGATATTTTATATTGAATATGGAGTGGCGGGGCGTGGGGTGAGGGGGATGGTTAACAAATAGGTCCGTTTACAATGATGTGAGAAGGTGTCTTAAAATATTCTTCTTTGAGGATAATTGAACCTCACCTACATCTGGTTAACAGCCTGTTGTGTGCATTCGTGACCGACTCCTGCCCTTCCGGTGTCATAGAGTACAATATCCCTAGCCAAATGCCTCCCCGGATAAATCACTATATATTAGTCAAATATTAAAGAATCAGAATCTCTGTATACTGTTGTAGATGATGTTTCTTATCACACTTCCAAGAAGCTTGTTACCAAGTGCAACTGTCTACATAGATCAACAGTTTGAAAATATTTCGTCGCAACATAAAGCTTAGTATTGTTGGTGATTTGCAGTTGTTTTGTCAAAGTGCAAACAGATGAAAATAGTTTATCAAGAAAATACGTTTAACAACATTCACCAAAAGAGTCGTTGAAGTTAAAATGTGTGTCAAATACTGTGTTTTGATTATTGTTGAGGTGAAGTATCAGCTTGAAACTCGCAATAACTCGCATAAACGTTCTCTTGCATGAATGACATACTGCTGATCTCTCTCATCGACATTGAGTACACTGAACGTCACACGTAGGCTAAAGACTAGTTGAAAATGATTCGCGATGTATTCAGGCTGCACTATTACTAAGTTAAGTAAGTAATGTTTAAAGGAGAAGTAGAGTGTCGTCTATCATTGTACACATAATATATAGCGATCGCCATTTCTGTATATTTATTTTGACATAATTTAATATGGTGACAAAAAGTGCTTTATATCTTCTTCCCTTCATACTCACCTCATATTACGGCCGCGGACTTAATTTCTCGATAAAAACATTAAAGCATGATAATATCAATATCAAATTGATTTTTCTTTTTATCTAAAAATGCATACTCATTATCACCAACAATACTCACGACAAGGGCATTTATCTTGCGTTCAAATTGGTGGACATGAGGTAGGTCAAAGATGATCACGATGAGTGGAAGACTGGAAGTAGAACTTTATACTGGATGATTAGGAAAATAAACTCTGACAGCACTGACACTGAATAAATTTATTCAGTGTCAGTGCTGTCAGAGTTTATTCTCCTAATCATCCTCATCGTGATCATCTTAGACCTAAATTAAGTCCATAAGGTGAGTATGAATGGAAAAAAGTCCGATTGTGTCTGAAATGAGAAAAATGAGGTCATACGTGTACCATCCGCATTATAAAAACTTTATGTTTTAGTTTCGTGCATATTTAGTGTCTCGCAACACTCTTCCATCTTGGACATAGTCTAATTTACGTACCTTTGAAAACGATTTAACAGTTGTGTCTGCAATAGGTTTATCCCCAAAAAACCATTCGATTGCCAAGAATGGCTGGACCTCATAGCTCCAGGTAAAGGAAGCTGTTCCGCCTATGCATGTGGCCACTGTCATATTTTGGTCGCTGGAGTCTGCAAGTTATGAAAAGTTGTTTGAACAAAGATAATGACCATCTCCTCATTCCCTGTCGGATATTATCCTAAAAACATGTTTCGTTCTGAACACTTTTTCCATCACATCTTAACCAGAAGCCTTTCGTTCCTCTCTGTAGACAGTATCATTAGGGGACTACCATTTGATGGTGGCTGTTTTTTTGTACAATCATGGTTTTTTAATATAAAAGAGAGCTGAAATTTTGTAAGGTCACTTTTCAAGTTCAACCAATAGAAAGATTGTTAAAATTGACTCACTGTTCAGAAATATAAAAGGTGAGGTGAAATGGGGTTTAACGTCGCGTCCAAGATTATTGCACTTATATAGCGACTGCATGCACGTGTGTGTGTGTGTCCGGACTTGTGCCGATTTATAGTGCTAGCCCACTGAGATACCATGCCGCAGTTTAACATGAATACCCCACTCAGACACAGTATACGGACTCCGAGCCGACCAGTCCTTGTTTTAGCCCCTTAATGCCGAGCGCCAGACAAGGTAATAACAAGTACCATGTTTTTACGACCACCAGGTCGCCCTTATAACCAGTATCAGTTAGCAGAGGACATCCGAGGTGAATGGCGTCGAATGACATAGTTTTATAAGTCAGAATATATGTAAGACACCCATTTAGGTAATTTAACCCCCTTTATATTAATTACATTAAGCTGCTATTCACACTTTTTATAAGCAGTCAATTGTGACATTTGTACGATAGCATCATTTTATTGTAATTAATGTCAGGAGTTGGAGGTTGTGTTTATAAATTTCAAGATAATTCGTTTGAATGTTATATATCTTTGCGTGTATGATTTAAGCTGTACCATCCATCATATACTTGCGAATATTTATAGAGTAATCATTTTTTCCAAGCATCTGGTACTTTATTATATTAAACTGACGTCCAAAAGAAACTTTACCAACTGAAAATATAAATTTCAGACAAAGTATAAATTGTTTTTCGATGAAGTCTATCTAAAACACATAACCTAAATACAACAATAGTGTATGCGGAAAATGTTAATTGTCTGTTACATGTTTGCGAGATAACACGCGAAAAAGTGAAAAACACGTGCACCACGGACAACTGCAAATGCACGTGCGGGTAAGGGTATAAAACGATTGTAACGGCAAGTCAGACATCCACAGTGACAAAAAAACACAAAAGAAATGCCACGACTCAAAGTCGAAAAATGTGAACGAGCCTTGGGTATGGTACAGATGGGAGCCACCCACGCCCATATTGCACAAACCTTCGGTTGCTCCCATGTTGCCGTTACCAACTTGATGCAACGTTACAGACGGACAGGGCGGACCGCTGACAGGCCAAGAACAGGCAGGCCCAGGGTACCCACGCCCTATGATGACCGGTACATGCGTACCTTGCACCTCCAAAATCGCTTCCTGACAGTGACGTCATCGGCGACAAATGCCTAAGGTCACAGGGTTAGTCGACAGACAGTGGCCAGGAGAATCAGGGCTCATGGAATCAGGGCTTTTAGACCATACAGATGACAGCTATTGACAGCGCAACATCGTCGTCTGCGATTGAGATAGGCCCGGACTGTACGACGTTGGCAACGACGTGACTGGCAGAGGGGTGAACGAACGGTGGCGTGTTGCGTGGAGGGGGTGTCATGGTGTGGGGAGGGATCTGTGGGCAGGAGAGGACACCGCTGGTCATCGTTGACGGCAACTTGACAGCTCAGCGGTACATGGATAACATTCTACGTCCAGTTGTCCTACCATTTCTCCAACAGCAGCCACGTGGTGTCATTTATCAGCATGACAACGCTAGAGCCCATACAGCCAGAATTGTCACTAACCTCCTCGCAGCCAACAACGTCAACGACCTGCCGTGGCCTGCACGCTCACCCGACATGTCCCCCAACACCTCTGGGACTTGATGGATCGTCGTGTTCGACAACGACCACACTCTCCAGCCAACCGGCAGGAACTGATCTTAGCCCTCCAAGAAGTATTGCGTCAAATCCCACGTGACCTCATCAGATGACTGACTTTTTCTGTGCGTCGAAGAGTTTTTGGGTGTATTGAGGCATTTGGTGGTCACACACGCTACTAATGACTTGTTATTGAACGTGAGCGATTGTTTATGTACTCTGCCTATTGTCCATGATTCTGAAAGCTCGAGTATTGTACCACACCCAACTTTGGGGGGCTCTGACGTCATTCTCGGTCGCGGTATGATTGTCATTTTCAGTGTTGATTATGTTGATATATTGATCTTCTTAATACACTTTACTTCATGCATGTATGTTTTGTTGTTTTTGAGCAAGAGTGATTTCAATCTCTGGTAAAGTTTCTTTTGGACGTCAGTTTATAATAATTACAGCAATTAAATCCGGTTAAATATGTTTTACTTAACACTGTCCTATTTTTAATATATATAATCCATTCACACAAAACCCACCCGTCAATATGTTAATAAAGCAAAGTTGAACATAATTGTTAAAGCACTATAGTTATGGAAAAGTGGACACGTCAGTGCTAGCTGTCGTGACTATGGTATACATTATCTTTATACCCCAGGGCAATGTCTTACAAAGTCATATCTACATTTATTCTTGGGTCGACTGCAGTATTTTGGTCCCCATTTCGGCGGTTTCCGTTATTAGGCTGCCATCAGCAGCTAAGAGTTTTACGATTAAAACTGTGCTCGTGTTCGCCTATATTTATGTTTGTCGTTTTGGTGTTAGAGAACTACTGACGTCCCGTAAGGTCATATAAAGGATCTACTACTATAGAGCCCTGTCTCATTGTGATACTTGATCCGTGAAGATCCGGGGTAGAATAGGTCTTCAGCAACCCATGCTTGCTGTAGGGTGACCATGCTTGTCGTAAGAGGCGACTAACGGGATCGGGTGGTCAGACTCACTGACTTGGTTGATGTATGTCAGTGATCTCAATTGCGTGGATCGATGCTCATGATGTCAATCACTTGATTGTCTGGTCCAGACTCGATTATTTACAGACCGCCGTCATATAGCTGGAATATTGCTGAGTGCGGCGTTAAACTACAAACAAACCAACGAACTAACTGTGGCAATGGAGTCAAGACGTAGCAGTGAGAACCAAACGCACCAACTGTATTGCTTTAGATTGTTTGATAGGTCACAGTCAGCAGCCGATGACGGTACTATAGCATAAGACGGTGATTCATTTCACAGAAGCGAAAGAGTTGGAACATGAACAACTGTAATCTTGTCGTTTTGCCACCTGAAGAGTTTAGCGATATAACGGTTTAAATTTACATAGAATGACCATGTTAAATTGCAAGATCGAGCAAGCTTTCTGTCGCGTTTGACGTCAGTGTCCATGGTCCATAAAAATTACAGCAGCGTTCACTGGTCAATTGTATTGAAAAAGGAGGGTTCCACACCCCTTTATCCCCTCGTTTTTCTTTTTTCTTATTCTTACTTCCAGTTTTTTAAACTGATATAATTATATGACGACAGCGTTTGGCAACAAAATAGCGCCCGTAAAATCCTCTCGCTTCGATTGTAAATAACAAAGAATGCATGCGTGGAACGTTTTTGATACGTGAACTTCCGTAAATACGATAAACGTAAATACTATAAACTCCTTGTTTGGGGATCCAAATACTGCAGTCTACCTGATATTCTCTTTTAAATAAAGCTATCATTTGGAAACGTGTCTAAATCAAGCTAAGCTGACATAGATGTTGTGTACCATCACAAAGTATGAATGACCTGAGCAAATTCAACCGTCTCTACAGTTATACGTCCACTTTACAAATTGTAATATTACAGTACACCATTTTATAAATCTAAAGTATGAAAATTCCTAATGTTTTGTATTGTCTTCACTTAAGCATTAGCCATCTTGACCTGTTAATAAAATGTTTGTAAATATGGCAAATGGACTAAACTGTCCGCAACACAATATCATATAAGGAGAGTTTAATAAGGACTCGAATATATTAAATCGGTGATAAGGTAAGTACTTTAATACATGTTTCAACTCTTGGTATAGTATCGAAAGGAATATTATTATGTCTTTTGGGCTTAAATTAACGAATATCGTTACCGTTTCGACTCATGGTTTTTAGTTTTTAGGAAGGAGGGTGGAATTTGAACATAAAACCCATAATAACAGTCGAAACTGTCACAAATATATTGTCTTTGTGATAGACAGTGAAAATACATTAGTTTCCAAAATACAGCTACAAAATGTTGCACACCTGGAACTGACGAAGGAGTGCTAATGTCGCACGCTGTGTATGAGGTAAGCAGCAACAGTGGTATGATCAGCTGCCAATCTGCAAATCAAAATGTAACAGAAATCAGCAAACTCACGAATACTGCAAATTAGAACTTTCAAATGTTTTGGTATTGATGTCTCACAGGATTTAATTTATTCCCCTTTAACAAGGATACACATATGTAATACAAATGAAGATGTGAGAAACGTTTAATATACGAGATGATTAATGGCGAAGGTGTTGATTGAAAACTGCTATTTTAAGATTTGACTTTGAAGGCACATATGACCGTTGATGAAGATATTGGTAAATACGATCACGCATTTGAGTAGATGAATGATAGAGTACTTAAGTTCTACTTTGGGAGTCATATCGTTTCTTGATCCTAAAGTGTCATCCTTTAAGGGCCTTAAAATTTATTTGGGTGACAATTTAAACCATCTCGTTGCTGAAGTGGTTTTTTTCTCAGTAGGCATAGTAAACAGCATATATTAAAGATTGACAGTTTCAGAATGTGGCAATACAACACAACAAACTAAATGCCAAATTTCATTTAACTTACATTTTGTACAACAATGACCGAGTAAGGGCCATGCGTTTCAGCATGGTTGAGGTTCAAAGTTCTGATCAAGGTCAAAACTGAAAATATCACAAAAACGGAACATAATGTTTTGAGACCCACTATTGCCTACACATGTGCCAACCTTCATTACATTTTGAGCAAAGAATAACTAAGTAATGGCGAACACCCTGAACAAATTCTTTAAGTTTCAGCTTCATTGTCAAGTGGATGCTGAGATAAATATGTTCAGGTGAGCTAAATAGGTAACCGAAGTTTCTATTTATTATGCATCCACTCTGTGTGAAAATTAAACAGGTTAAATGTTATTCCGTGTGCCACATGCTGCAATTCAAGATTGTATACTTTTTCAAGGTGCTGCCTCTGTCACTACGTTTAAAACTTTTTTACTATCATTTACTTGAAGTACCTACTTGGCAAATGCTGTATTCCCTTCATTAGCCGTACATTTGCGCCAGTATAATCCACGGTATCCATTTGGAGATCGTCCTTAAGTGAGCGTACATCTGCAAAAAGAAATCGAGTACAGGAATTTAGGTATTTCTCCTGTTTTGGTTTAAAACCATTTGGGGATTCTGGTTCAAAACAACACCTGGGTATCAACCCATCCTTGTCGAGCCGACTGATGTAGAAAAAGGGCTGTGAAAGTGACCTGGATTACTCTCATGTTTGGGGATTAGAGGATGTGCGGTGTGTACGGTGCTACGCATTCTAAACATGTGCACGTAAATGGAAACAACAAAATGACTTGGTGGTGATTTTTCAGGTTAATGTGCTCTATGTTATATTGCATCCCTTCCCCTTTGCACTTATTACGTTTCCCCGTTTGGTCTGCATTATGAAATAAATGGAAATGAATGCTGCAAGCAGGTCGGTTTTTAATGTTCTCCAGCCTGGAAATCTTCTTTTCATTACGTAAGAGTACTTTTCTTCATAAGTGTCTTTTTGTTCTCAAAGCCAAATTTGCGGAAAAAAACGTACCATTTACTATTGACACTTAACATACCACGCCCAAACAAAAACAGTACACAAATTGTTAAGTACATCTGATCTAACATAGGTTTGCTTGTAGAAGCTGTATCAGTCAACTTGTTGGTAAAACACCTTGTGGTGTAAACAGTATTTAGCTGTATATTGTACAAACTATTACAATACTTACAAAAACGAAAAGTCCATAATACACACTGCACAGCCTCGGTGATCCAGCATGGCGCAATGGCGTTATAGGCGGTCCTGATTATCACAACGTACAGCGGACCATCGTCAACCGCCCATTGTTGACATGTTTGTATTTTAAATACGTGTGCGGTTTCCGTAACTTTTGACGAATTTCGGTATTTCTTCTTTATTGGTTAATCATGATGGGGATTCTGGATCAAAACAACACCTGGGTATCAATCCATCCTTGTCGACCCGACTAATGCAGACAGGTCTGTGAAAGTGACCTGGATAATGCGTGTCATTGTCAGTCCACACGTTACTCTCCTGTGTGGAGGCGGTGTGTGTGTGTGTGTGTGTGTGTATGTGTGTGTGTGTGTGTGTGTGTGTGTGTGTGTGTGTGTGTGTGTGTGTGTGCGTGTGCGTGTTTTACATGCTAAACATGATTGGTGATCGGTTTTCATGTTAATTAGTGAGTGAGAGAGTGAGAATGATTTTACCTCGCTAGTAGCAATATTCCAGCAATATCACGGCGGGGGACACCAGAAATGGGGAATCGAACCCGGGTCTTCGGCGTGACGAAAGAAGGCTTTAACCACTAGGCTACCCCACTGTTAATATGTTTTATGTTAAGTTGTACACCTTCCCTTTTCCACAAAGTACGTGTCCACGGTCGATCAGCACTGTAAAATGATAGATCGGTTGATATATGTTCTTAAGATCGGAAGATCGGAAGATTCTCATTACGTAGGTGATTTTATAACTAGGGGCACAACAGGTGTTCGGAACATAATATTTTTTTATTAAAATGAATTTTTGTTTTTAAAATATTGTTGTTGATATTTGAGGTTTATCCTAAAATAGTCTGCAGTTACGGCAGATTCATGATGTGTACTGAATCCATGGCATTACCAAATGCATTATAGTTAACCATTTTGGGTATCAAATGAATAATTTGTTATGTTTTTACTTCGAACCAAGTGTTTCTCAGTCTGTGTTTTGAAAGGTGACGTCCTTGCTAAACTCCACTTTTGGATTACGGACTTGTACATTTCCCTTGTCGATGTTGACCTGGTACACGACTTATGTAACTTTCATTTCCTACTAAATGGCACTAAAGCGGATATGTTTGAACCCAGATCAGTACAAAATGTACCTGATATCACTTACGGATGTGTAAGGAAGGTAAAGGTTCACAAAGCATGTTGTCTGTGTCTTGCCCCTATGTGTTGTTTATGCTCACTACATGCTAGCAATAAAACCATTCCCCCACGTCTTAACGATTGCGGTATCCACAACGATGCCCCTCATATTGATTATCCGGTAAATATTGTTTTCTTTCGTCATTTCTTTGATGCAGACCAAATCCAAAACACCACCCCTATATTGTTAGCACAGGCACCGGTTTAATACAGAACCGCATCTCTCCGTTCGGCAAATGCTACTTTTAAAAACCTTAGTGTCAGTCTTATACACATGGTGGTACAAGCAAAGACCAGATTAAACATACTGATCCCTCTGAGCAGTTGTTTATAAATTCCTGAGCGAAGAGTCCGATACATACGGTTGGACTAAAAACCCTGTTCACTTATCTAACCATGGCCAAGTTCGGAATAATGATTCTATCTGAACTTTTATTATTTACCCTTAATCGTAGAGTTGGCCTGTGCGGGTCCAACTACTAGCCCGAGGTGTCCCCGCGGTGACCGTATCAACAACGCTGGACATATTAGTTTGGACTCCCTCCACACCTGGCACTGCAGCCAACTCTACCCCGCCCATACTTGCTCGTATTCAAGAGTATCTCAAACTGGAAATAATCATTCTGGTACTCATGTTCATTTTTGTCCTCATGTTGAGTCTAAACACACATCAAACCAACACATTTCTATTGGTGTTTGTCGGGCACCAAGTCTGTTCGCCTCAAAGTGGACGATATCAGTGCCCCACCCCTTGTTCTGTCCCTCTCTGACCAGGAGTATCCGTGTTCATCCATGGATATATTTTTAATGTGAAGTATACACGATATACGGCTTTTTTCCATTGGACGAGAGGTCGGTCACATGGGCGCGAAATTGTCGACTCAATCCGTGTCTAGACTGACAGTGCCAGTCGATAGCGACCTATGAATTTACCTCAGTATCTATTCTCACATCTTTATGATCACATTTCAATGATCGGCCAATTGATCAATGATGTAGCCACAGGTTCATGAACAACTTCGGTCATTTTGACGCCTTGTACTTGATGTGTGCAAAATTCAGATGTTACACTGTGTAGCATTCTCTATTTTTAGAAATCCATTCATCTAGTCGTAGCATATAATGACTCATTATTTTCAGAATATGCATGGGAAGAGTACCGTAGCAAGAATTAGGGATTAAGAAAATAGATACATTACATTGATTTGGTAAATTCAATTGAAGCTGTCAAAGTTTCTGGCTAAGATATGACTGACGCGAAATCACGCACAACGACAGCGCTTTTTATCGGCTTTTGTGACTATTTCTCTTGGTTACAAAGAAAAACATAAAAAAATATCAATACACAGATTGTCATTATATTTCTGACTACTTACATGGTACATCTATGCATGTACGATCCCTGAATCAACGAAAGTCCGCACGTACAATCACGCATTGTGATGTCATTTGACACAGGGACCCTTTTGTAAAAGTTGATCACCGGTTGTGATGTCATGTGTCAACGTATGTTGTCCATGTTTGGTAACTTCTTTGAGGTGAAAGTAGGTTGAAAACAAAAGTAATTTCTGATGTTAAATTAATAAAAGTAACAATGAGTTGGGTTTTTTTAATTTATGGAATTGGAACTACTTTGCTGTTCGGAAGTGTGAAGCATATATCCGCTAGTGTGTTACTGCATTCCAATATATAGAAGATATCTCAGGTGTCTCGTGAAATATGATGTTTCTCTCATTGAGTGACGGGGACAAGGAGATATTTCTTTTCCTTCGTCACGAGATGAGAGAAACATGATATTTCACCAGACACGTGGAATGTCCTATTTATTATATACTTTTTGTGTAGTTGACTGCAAGAAAATGTTGTTGTTTTTTTATTACAAATATGAAGCCTTGAAACGGAAATGAACTTTACCCAACACGCAGAGATGTTTCACTACCCCTTGTAATTGCGACCTAACAAGTAGTTCCGAGTTTGCAAAATCTTAAAAAGTACAAGGTCAATTTAAATCTTTATCATACACATGAATATGATTATATACAAAATCAACTTTAAAAAATTATTCTTGAAAGCTGTTGTAAGCGAAAGAATACACGTTGATCAAGTAACAAAATAGACGAACAGTCTCCATTGACAATTAAAATGAGAAAATTACATAGTTTATAACCAAAAATTATCAAAATAATAGCAAACGGCAAGAAGCGACATTAACTCCATAAATAACCATCTGACATTATTTTGCCTTGTCAATGCGGAACTAACGTAAAAAGGAAGACAACAGTTTGTGTACAGGAGATATACTTACGATAAAAGGAGACATTTTGCGAGGAGTGAGTGAGTGAGTGAGTGAGTTAGTTGGGTTTAACGCCGCTTTTAACAATATTCCAGTTAAAACACGACGTGTAAGCTTAATGTGGGAGGAAAGCCCGAAGTGGTGCAGGTCTCAGACGTTTACCACTTCGGTGAAACCCACGAGCACGGGTATGGTGCTGACAAACCTAGAAACATAGTCGGGGCCAACCGGGATTCGAACCCGCAATCATAGGTTTCTGGTGTGCCCAAGGGACGCAACTCTGGACAGCGAATCGCGGCGCTTTCGTCGTCTGGGCTACCCTTGCCCCCTATTTTGCGAGGAGGTAGCTCTTGTATGACAATAGTTGCGGCACAGTGTTATGTTCACTGCAGTGAAATATCAAGTGTTATGGATAACAACTTCTTTAATACACAGGACGAAGGTCCATACCATAAGTTCTTTTGATGCTGTCAGCAGGTAATTACACTATGGTATTTATAACACTTTCGGTCACCGCTCACACACCAAAGGTTCCCTATTTCAAATCAGATTATGGTACTCTGCACGCTTTTGTTTGTGTTTTTAACGCCACAATCAGCAATACTCCAGCTACCTCAGGGCTGCCATTAAATAATTGTCTCTGGACAAGGCAAACCATGCAATGACTTAAAGCACGGGCAACGATCCGCACAGTCAGTGACAGCAAGTCACATGAGCCTCTCAAAACAACCAATAGATAGTTGGAAAACTTGTTCATTCCTACTCTGTTCCACACGGGTACGTCTACACAAAGTAATATATGTCTAGTAATATATTTCCACAACATCAGGTACAACGGGAAATAACACACTTTTATACGGAAATATTATCGAGCGAAACTGAATTTTGTTACCCCTTACAAACAAATCACAATCGCTATCTGTCAGTATTAACTCAACACAGCGGCGACTATGTTTCTGTTTTACGTTGTGGCCGGAGGACTATTTGAGTGTGGTATGTATCTGTCTTCGTATATATTATATTGAGCTGTGCTTAAATCCTATTTTGCTTTAATAATTCGCAACATTAATATTTCTATCTACTCTTAACAAACATAATGGTGTATGGTGTTTATTTGTTTTGTGTGCAGCTCTTGTTTCCGTGACAGCTGACTACCGACACACTGTCACACGTGCTGGCTACGATGTTGACATGACCATGAACCCAGCTAATGTCAGCTACCTATATAACGTACGGGTGAATGGTTCGGTAAATGAAGTACTGTTAGTGGTCGTGCCTAAGTCACACCGAGTAGAAGTACGCAACACCTGGCACACCGGCTACACGACCAGGATCAGATACATAGGGCAGGACTCACCATCACAGACCGGACAGCTGAGGTTCACCATCTACAATGTTACTATACAGGACGCTGGTACTTACTACTGTGAAGGAAGCAAAAAGCAGAAAGTACCTGGATGTAGGCAGATCCTCGTTGTATCACGTAAGTATTATATGGGATCAACAGAAGAATATTCCAAGAAATGAAAGTGCATTAAGCTGCATTGCGGTAATAAATAAACAATGTCAGAAAGAAATCCCTGGTAGCAGAGGCTTCAGTTGTGAAGGAAGTAAAACCGTTAGGTGTATAAAGATAGGAGTGGGATATTACTTTTTAATGTTTCATACACATTGGGTCAGGAGTGTTTAGGTGTTTTGCATGGCGACATCATGGACGTCACATTTATCACTTGTGCCGTTGTGTCATTATCGCTATCCTTCGGAATTGTAAGATTTAAAAAAAAGCTGCCATGGCCTCCAAGATA